GGCTGGAGCGCCGCGGGCACGGCTCCCACGGGCCGGCAGCTGGGATCCGGCTGTGGGCTCTGGAATCCGGGATGGGATCTGCCGGGGGATGGAGCCGCTGTGGGATCGGCTCCCTGCGGCGCCGGGCGGGCACGGGATCGGGCCCTGGGATCCGGGTTTGGGATTTGGGATGGCATCCAGACCCTGGAGCACAGCACGGGCTCCCTGCGGTGCCAGCCGGGGCCAGCCGGGCACGGGATCGGGCCCTGAGATCCGGGTTTGGGATCTGGGATGGCATCCAGACCCTGGAGCACAGCAAGGGCTCCCTGTGGCACCAAGGTGGGGCCAGCCGGGCACAGCCGTGCTGGGATCAGGCCCTGGGATCCCCTCTGGGATCCGGGTCTGGGATCTGGGATGGCATCCAGACCCTGGAGCACAGCAAAGGCTCCCTGTGGCACCAAGGTGGGGCCAGCCGGGCATGGCCGTGCTGGGATCGGGCTCTGGGATCCGGGTTTGGGATCTGGGATGGCATCCAGACCCTGGAGCACAGCAAAGGCTCCCTGTGGCACCAAGGCGGGGCCAGCCGGGCACGGCCGCGCTGGGATCGGGCTCTGGGATCCCCTCTGGGATCCGGGTTTGGGTTCTGCCACCCCGGCTCGGGATCCGGGATCTGCTCTCCAGCCGCCCCACTTGGTGCTTGGGGTCAGGGTTTGGGATCTGGGACGGGATCGAGCCCCAGAACCACCTCGGGCACACCTGGACGAGGCCAGGCCAGCACGGCCACGGGCTGGGGTGGGATCTGGGATCCAGGATGGGATCCAGGATGGGATCTGGGTCTGGGACCCAGGACTGAGATCTGGGTCTGGGATCCAGGATCCAGGACTGAGACCTGGTCTGAGATCCAGGTCTGGGATCCAGGATCTGGGATGGGGTCTGAGATCTGCCCTCCTGCCACCCCACGCTGTGCTTGGGATCTCAGTTTGGGATCCGGGACCCAGCTTTGGGATCTGGTCTGGGTCTGGGATCTGATCTGGGATCCAGCTTTGGGATCTGGTCTGGGTCTGGGATCTGATCCAGAATTCAGCTCTGGGATTTGGAATTCAGCTCTGGGATCTGATCCAGAATTCAGCTCTGGGATCCAGCTCTGGGATCCAGAATTCAGCTCTGGGATCTGGAATTCAGCTCTGGGATCCGGAATTCAGCTCTGGGATCCAGCTCTGGGACCCAGGATCTGGTCCAGAATTCCAGCTCTGGGATCCGGAACTCAGATCTGGGATCTGGGATCTGAGATCCAGCTCTGGGATCCGACCTGGGTCTGGGATCCGGGATCCAGCTCTGGGATCCGGGATCCAGCTCTGGGATCCAGCTCTGGGATCCAGAATTCAGCTCTGGGATCCAGCTCTGGGACCCAGGATCTGGTCCAGAATTCCAGCTCTGGGATCCGGAACTCAGATCTGGGATCTGGGATCCGATCCGGGTCTGGGATCTGGGATCCAGCTCTGGGATCCAGCTCTGGGATCCAGAATTCAGCTCTGGGATCCGGGATCCAGCTCTGGGATCCAGAATTCAGCTCTGGGATCCGATCTGGGTCTGGGATCCGGGATCCAGCTCTGGGATCCAGAATTCAGCTCTGGGATCTGGAACTCAGCTCTGGGATCCGGGATCCTGCTCTGGGATCCTGCTCTGGGATCCAGCTCTGGGATCCGGGATCCGACCCGGGTCCCTCCCGCCCCGCTCCCCCCGGCACCGGAACGCCCAAATCGGAGTTTCCCGTGACTCCCGGCGGGTTTTTA